TATCTGCATTACATTTGTGTTTCCAGTTAGATTTGTGCCAGGTGAAGCAATTAAAGAGCCAGTATGGTAAAACGCTATAGTGACTACAGGGCTGGTGTTACAGGCTGTAACCACAGCTGCTGAGCAGGGTGAGGCAGAAGGATCACAAGTACAAGGCCAGCTCGGGCGATTGAATGTGACCCTGTCACAGAAAAGTGAAAGATCAGTTGGGGTGTAACTCACTGACTGAGCACTTGCCTCGAACATCTTCTGCCCTGAATTCCATCCCCAGTGCTAACAAGGAAAAAAAAAGTGTTTGAGACCCTTAAGTATATGCTTCATTCGGTTTGAAAAATAGTGACATAAAGTAGTCTTTAAGAAATGGTTGGCGTGGGGAGCCGGAGCAGATGGCTCAATGACTGGGAGCACTAGCTGCTCTTGCAAAAGACCTGGGTTCGATTCCCGTCACTGACATGGCAACTCACACTCTAACTCCAGTTCCAGAGGATCCTCTTTTGGCTTCTGAGGGCTCCAGGCATGTATGTACACACGTAAGTGCAGGCAAACACTCAGAAATAAGTAAATCTTATTTTTTTTAATCACCTCCATAGAATTGGCGACTGAGCTGCTGTTGCTTAGAAAGACAGCAGTGCTGATGATCAGGCCTGGTCGGGATGGATTTTACTGAAATAGCCATGGTCTAAGAGCCTCCCTCTATCGTCATGGAAATAGGGATACTGTAAATAAGGCAGCAGCTCCCACAAACAAGTCTGGAAAAGCGATCCCCAGAATTAAAGTGACAAGATGAAAAAAAATTGGTGTAAAGTCTTCAGTAATGAGCATTACTGTCGCCAGCCCCTGGGACTGGGGTGCAGCTGCCCAGAGCCTTTGCCCAGTGTGGGTTATCTAGAGCACAAAGAGCACTGCTGTTAAGGGGAAAGCAAGGTCACCAAAATAATTAACACGCTTTAAGATAAAACCAGCGATGCTAATTTTAGCTTGTAGACAGTTTTTCAAGTTCTTCACTCATTAGTACAGAGGCAGCTTCCTTTTCTTGTTTGTTAGAGACAGGCTTTCTCTGTGTAGCCCTGGCTGTCCTGGAACTCACTCTGTAGAGCAGGCTGGCCTCGAACTCAGAGATCACATGTCTCTGCCCACCACTGCCCTTCGGAAAGATGTTTTCTATTAGACCCTGAGAAGCAATAGCAACAGCGTTGGTGCAGACACTCAGTCAAGGTTATTCTCGTTGTCTGCTATTCTGAGTTTCTTGTGCATTCCAGGCCTCCCTGAACTCCTGATCCTCCTGCCTTCCTCAACCTCAGCTGGGATTGAGGGCATGTTTCACCACCCCAGGATTTAATGTGCTGGGGATCCAACCGAAGGCTTCCTACATGCTAAGCAAACACTATGAGCTATGCTATATTCCTAGCCCATTTGTTTTGTCTTTTGTTTTCTTTGTGAGACAATGTCTCCCATCAAAGCACTAACCAGGCCTGACTGCTTAGCTCCCAAGATCAGATGAGATCTGGGTGTGTCCTGGGTGGTGTGGCCATAGACTGAAGTGTCTCCTATCTCCCAGGCTAGCCTCAAACCTCAACCCCTGCTCCTCCTGCCTCCGTATGCCCAGCTATATTGATGGCTAAAGGAAAACTAGGGCTGAGTGGGATGGTTCACGCCTCTAATCTCAGCACCCACAAGGCAGAAGCAAGGGGCTCTTTAAAGATTTGTTGCCAGCCTGGTCTATGTAATGAGCCGCACTCAGGACAAGTCTACACAGTAAAACTAGAGTTCTAAATCACTTGAATTTGCCCAAAAGTTGTCTGTAGCAACCTCTAAACCAAGTTTACAAAGTCTAATTATCTGGGGCAGGTGGCTCCCACCTAGAGGGAGCGTTTCAACACATTTATGATAGCTGGCAAAGGAGCTCTGCCACTGCCTGGCAACAACTACACAAGAGGTTGCTTAGCAACCAGGGACGGACCAACAGGAGTTCCCCACTTCTGCAGAGACTGAGACCTGTGCACCAAAGGTGAACTACAGGCAACTTTTGGAGGGCTGGGCTTCTAGCCTGCCTTGGTGGGTCTCATAGCTCTTCCCTGATAGGTCCTCTTTTGCCTTATTTGCATATTCATATTTAACTAATTAGGCCTGTCATGCACCCTGGATATTAAGACATTCCGGGCCAGAAGAGCCAGAGTTGCTGAAGAATTCCACAGAGAAGGAAGAGATGGAAGGCGTGATTGCCTGTTTCTAGGAGCCTGGCCCCAGATGCCTCTATTTTCTTCAGAGGAAGAATCCTGAAGACTTGCTGGTTCAACTCCCCACTGGCTCACCCATAAAAGAAGGAAGATTGCCTCAAGGGCTGTGGATGAAACCACAGTTCTCATCATAAAGAGAATATGACAATTTATTCTGGAGCCACTTTGAGTGACCATGTCCTGGGAACACAGGTTTAAATTACCCCAAATTAAAGTGGAAGTAGTTTCATGAACCTTTATAGTATTTTTTTTTTTTTTTGGTTTGAGTTTTTGTTTTGTTTTTTTCTAGACAGGATTTCTCTGTGTAGACTTGGCTGTCCTGGAACTTGCTCTATAGAGCAGGCTGGCCTCGAACTCACAGAGATCTGCCTGCCTCTGCCTCCCAGTTGGTAAAGGTGTGTACCACCACTGCCCAGTTCAAGTTTTATAGTTTTACAGAAGAAGGTCATAAATCAGGGCAAGTTTAAATTTCTTTGGTGGGTAGCAGGGCAGTGGTGGCACATGCCTCCCTCGGGAGCTGGATCTCTGGGAGTTCGAGGCCAGCCTGATCTACAGAAAGAGTTCCAGAACAGCCAGGACTACCCAGGGAAACTGTCTCAAAAAACAAAAACAAAACAAAATTGGTGGGTACCTTGGGCAGGTACAACTAGATTGGGGAGCTCTCCTGTAGGCTCAAGATTCTGAGTTTTTGGGTTGGTGAGTTAATAGACTTTAAAAGGATTTCATCTATTGTGCTGACAGAGGTAGGGAAGGAACGGCTACTGCAGAGAGCTAGAACTAGCCCAAGCTGAGGTAACCAGCTCTTGCACTGGTAACATTCCAGTCTGTCCACTAGTACTGGCACCCCGATCAGCCAATCACAAGCTTCTTTTCAGTTGGGAAGTCCCCCAAGGCTGAAGCTTCAGTGGGCAGCTTGCCTCAGCTGGCTTCTGGGACTGGACCAGTGGGTGCAAGCAAAAAGAAAAAAAAGGGGGGGGGGCGGGGTGTGCAGACTCATTCCCACCTCAGCCTCCAAGGCTTGTTAATGACCTTGGAGACCTGCTGGAGCCTCAGTGACCTTGTTCTGTAATGACTGCTTTTGGGTAGCTGCCTAAGCCATCTGATTGTTTTCCAGCATAACGGTTCTCAGAGCCATATTCAGAGCTGTACTGATTCTTCACAACATCCCACTACTGGGCTGGAGAGATGGCTCAGTGGTTAAGAGTAAGTACTGTCTGCTCTCCCAGAGGTCCTGAGTTGGATTCCCAACCACATGGCGGCTCACAACCATCTATACTGGGATCTGATGCCCTCTTCTGGCATGCAGGTGCACATGCAGATAGAGCATTCAAACACGTAAAAATAAATCTTAAAAACAGAAACAAAAACAAAAACAAAAACAAAAAAAAACATCCCGCTGCTATGGGGAGTTCCAACCTGTTTCATTTATAGCCTGGGCAGCAATCTGTTTAGACTGTTAACCCCAAGTTGACAAGGGTCTCCTTATTCCTGCTTATTCTATTCTTGGAGGAAGGTTCGACAAGAATCTTGTTGGCAACAGAAGATGGTCTCCACCACTGACTCGCAGGATCGGGAGTAATTGGATTGGGAAGAATCAAAACAAGCTGGGTGCCATGGCTCACGCCTGTAATCCCAGCACTTGGGGAGGCAGAGGCAAGCAGCTTGGTCTCTTGTAACTCTACTATGCACTCCTTAATCTTTACCAGACAGTAAACAACGGCACAGAACACAAATTTGCAATTTCATTTTTTTTCTCCTCCTCCCTCTCCAACAAAACATGGAAGGTGAAATGTAGAGAAAGAAATCAGACCCCGTGATTTGATAAAACAACCAAATACCACTTATTTCCACTCAGACCATGTGAAGCTTCCCTGCTTCCTGATAACCACATTCTGGGCACCCTCCTGGACCACCAGCATGGGGTGCGCTGCCGAGACTGGCCACAGTAGCTACAAAGTCAAGCCGCAGGCAGGCCGAGCCGTATTTTCATGTCTTCATAGGAAAGGCCCGCGTTATGCACTAATGGCTTTAAAGTTCATTTTTAAGTAGCCAAACGATGTTCCATAATTGGGATGCTCGCGGCTCCTCACTCCCGAGCTGGGAACCGAACCCAGGGCCTTCAGCTTACCATTGAGCAAAAAAAACACAACCCCCCCGAGCTGTTTCGAAAGCTACTCTGCCAAGGTTGGCGGATCTCAGATCGCCGTTGAGATATGCACATGCGCAGTCCTGCGTCCTTCTGTCCCCAGCCTCACTCCCAGAACCTGTCCGCATCTTCCACTTCTCGAGAAGGGGAGACGGTGGCTCTGATCGTCAACTTACCCGGCGGGCGGTGGAGCCTGGAGGACTCACAGCGCCCGGGGGAAATTTCTCACTCTCTTTTCCTCTTCTGCGGGGACCGGGACACCGGCTGACTAATTCTCTCTGACTCTTTCGAAATGTTAGTTTTGACGTCACCCCTGCAGAATGGCTTCTCTCGGCGGCCGGAACCATCTGTGCTTCTCCGCGGGGCGACCAGCGGCGCCCAGGGGCACGCGTGGCCGTGGGGCAACGGGCCCCTGCTCGGCGGAGCGCAGCGCGCACAGCGTTGCCCGGCGCATCCCGGCCGCCCGCCCGGGGACCCGGCGCCGCTCGCCCGGGCTGGTGGTTGGCGCTCCCTGCCCTCCGCCGGTCTGCGGATGGTTCGGCCCGGCTGGGTCACGCGCTGGGTTCGGTGCAGGGCCTGAGGAGCGGGCGAGCACTCGGCGAGGGGCAGAACCGCAAGTGACAGCTTCGCGGGCTCCGACAGTCGCGAACGGGTTCCGGCCCAGCGTCCGGGAGACGCCGAGCGCTGGAGTTGGGTTGGTGTTGGGCCGCAGGGCTGAGTGGATGGTGGGGATGGTGACGGCCGGGGAGAGGGAGATGACAGGTACCCAGCCCCGGTCGGGGACTTTGCTTTAGTTTCACCGAGCACTGTCCACCTCCAGCAGGTCGGCCGGCAGAGGACAGGATGGAGCAGGGCAGGCCGGGCACCTTACTTCTCTCCACTTTGGCTTTCTAACTCGACTTCATGCTCTGGAAGGAATGTTTATCCCGAGGATTAGCCAGTGGCTCGCAGTGGAGGAGGTCACAAGCAGCCCTGGGCGGTAGGGGACTAGGAGGTCCTGCTTCGACTGCGGGCTGGCACTCGAAGGTGGTGGTAGGGGCTGCTGGCACCACCCGTGGTGCCCAGCCGAGAGAAGTTGCAGTACCGACAGGCCACAGCTGGTGCAGTGCTGGAGGTGCGAGGTTATCCTAATTGTCATTAAACAGTGGAGAGGTCATGGCACGTGACAGTGTTTGCTCTGCTGGTGTCAAGTGACTGGGCGCTCTGTAAAGGAAATCCTACTGGGGTTGGCAGGAGTAGAGTAGGGAGTGGTTCTGAGTGATATAGCCTGCTGCTGGGTTGTTGTTTTTTTTTTAACCTACCCTGGGTACCCACTCTAGGGTGGCAGCTGGGAGCAATGAGTTCCCTGGGGGAGACAGTTAACAGCTGCTGCTGAGTTCAGCGGAGACCCTTGTAACCCTGTGTTTGCCTGCAAGGCGCTCTTAACATTTGCTTCTTTTTGGTTTATGTGCACTGGTGTTTTGTCTGCATGTAGGTCCGTGTGAGGGTGTCAGACCCCTTGGAACTGGAGTTACAGCGGCCATGTGGGTGCTGGGAATTGAACCCCGGGTCTTTGGGGAGAACAGCCAGTGCTCTCAAGCGCTGAACCAGCTCTCCAGCCCCTACAAGGCACTCTTAGCACCCTGGTGCTGTGAGAAGACAAGAAAGGGACATGAGATAAAACCAGGGGACACCGGGGGAGGATGGTGTGCGGATTGTTTGCCAGGCCTGTGGTTTGGACGGCGTGGACAAGCAGCAAACGTGCACAGCCTGCCTCTTAAGTAAATGTAACGGCGAAGACACTGTCTTCAGTTGCTAAAAGTTACAGGGAAAGGGTACTTAGGCGCACTCACAGAAGCTGGCTCAGTGAAAATGTGGTAGACATTTAGAAAAAAATATGATTTTTTTTTCTTTCTTTCTCTAGAGGGCATCAGGTCTTTGAATTCAAGTGCAGTCGCCATACCTGACTGACCCCGGCGGGACTTGGGCATGATCTGGTCTAGGCAGGACGATGGAATTGTGACCTGTTAAGTATAAGGTTGGTACTGATGCCCCCTCCACACGTGGGTGAACCTTGGCCAAGGGCTGCTCTCACATGCATGCTTTGCCCGGAAGGATGCTTATTTCTCATCCTTGTATGCCCCCTCCTCCCCTGCAAAGAGGATGCAGCCCCTTTCCCAGGATGTGTGCTTCTGTCTTGTGCCCTGACTCTCTCTTTCCCCAGCCTCTTTATCCTGCTATTGCTTGCTTCCTCTCCTCCTCCCCAGTGGACTCTTTCTGCTCATGAGACAGTGTCCCATGTACCATGCTGGAACATGCCGCATAGCTAAAGCTGGCTGATTCTCCTACTGGCACCTTCCGGTGCATTCCCAGTGTCTACCACCATAACCATAACCACCATAACCACCATACTGGTCCTGGGCCTCACTGTAGTAAGCCCTTTGAACCCCGTCTGTGCCCCTAGATCCCTGGACTCTGCTTTGACCATGGTTGTGTCTGCACCCCCTTGGGTACCTCCGGTTTGTCTGGTTACAATGATCATCTCTATAATAGGTAATTCGGTGCTTCTGTGTGTTGGGAACTGCAGTGAATGCTGAAGGGACTGTAGTCAACTAGACAAAAATCTCCACAGACAGGAGCAAAGCGTTTGTAAAGGGAAAAACACAAGCAACATAGGTCCCAGAGCCTAAGATGTGTGAGAGAGTGGGAGTGGCGGGGGGGGGTCAGCCTGCATGAGCTAGTTTGTAAGGACAGGCACACGGAGGCCGATGGGATCAGCCAGACAACGGTCTGCGGCATGTTCGGGACCTTTACCCCCAGCTCCTCCGTGTCATGCTGCAGTCAGGATCCCCACGGGCAAGTGTCGAAGCCCCCAGCTCTCAGCCTCCTACCTTGCTGATTGTTTTTACCTGCTGAGCTAATCCTACTCCAGCTGTAGAAGACTGGAGCTCCGGGAGTCGACTGCAGACACACTGGAGATAAAGCTGCAGGCTGGTGGGAGAGCTAGCTCAGAGGAGGCACTGGAGGCGGCCAAGCACAGCTGTCTGTCACCAGCTTTGTGCTGTGCGGGTGCGTGTTGAGCTCTTACTTTGCCATCTTTCCAGGCATGCCAGCTGACCGGCCACATCTCTTTGGTCATATTTCTGCCTACCCTTCCAGAGGTCAAGGACCTAGGGAAAAGATGTCCTCAAAAAGAGGACAGTATGGGTTTTGCTCAGTTTCCTCTTGCCTGTACTCAGAGGCTTAAATAGTTCCTTGTTGCCTCGAGTAGGAGTCTCTCTCTCTCTCTCTTTAATGGAAATATCCTGGAACCCACACAATTTATTTATTTATTTTATTATTTATACAGTACTCTGCCTGCGTGTGTGCCTGTGTGCCAGAAGAGGGCACCAGATCTCACTGTAAATGGTTATGAGCTACCCTATGGTTGCTGGGAATTAAACTCAGGACCTTTGGAAGGGCAGCCAGTGCTCTTAACCTCTGAGCCATCTCTCCAGCCCCAACCCACACAATTCAGATGGCAGCCCTGAGCTCTGTATGAGGCCGTGTCCTGAGCTTAGCTCTGGTCAGCTTAAATCTTGAGTTGTCACATGTGACGGTGGCCCTGATGGTTGTGAAGAAATACATAGTCACTAACCCCCCTTCCAGACCTTTCCCCAGCCAGCCAGTATGGTCCAGAGTGTTGATGGGTCAGATACGCTGGCTGTGGCTGTCTGCGCCCCTGCCTTTGTTGCCGTGGTCTCTTCTGCTGTCAGAACCCCAAGGAGATGCTCATCTTTAACACCTTTTCTGGTTAGCTGTAAAGCGGGGAGCAGATGCCCCACAGGCACCCAGCCCTGGCTGAAGCTGCCCACCACACAGGAGGAGTGAATTACCTCCTGGCGTCCGCCTCTCTTCAGAGGCTCTGGGTTCTGCTGATTTGGGATCATTTGGGATCAGGTGGAGAAGGGGACTTTCCCTTCTTTTAAAGATTTTATTTTATGTATGAGTGCTCCATCTACATGTACGTCTGCACGCCAGATTTTAGTGTAGATGGTTGTGAGCCACCATGTGGTTGCTGGGAATTGAACTCAGGGCCCCTGGAGGAGCAGACAGTGCTCTTATCTCTCCAGCCCTGTGATACAATACTTATGACACAGCATTTAACTCTGTGGGCACGTGGAAATTCAGTGGTGTTGGGCACAGCCCTCAGCACCTTCCATCTCAGCTCTGTCATCTTCCCAACTGCAACTGTCTCTGACCACCTCACAGGAGTCAAGTCCAACTCCCCAGATCTCTTGAGCGGGTCAGCCAGAGCTTGTCCCGTGTCTGCCCAGTTTTGTTCTGTCTGAGCTACAGTGGGTTGTAGGGTTGTCTTTCGCTCAAGACTGTGTGTCACCCCTTCTCTCCCTATTAAAAGCACTCTGTGGTCCAGCAGGATGGCTTAGAGCGCTCTTCTCTCACCTCTGGAGGGCCCCTTGATCTTTGGAAGTCACGTGGTCCATGTCTGAGGACCACTCAGCTCCATGGGAAAGTGAAAAGTCTCTGCAGACGTCACTCCTGCATCCACGCCCTCTCTCGCCTGATCCTCCTTTGTTTCCTTTCTTCACGATCCATTTTCTCTCTTCCCTCCAATAGAGTCTGCCTACTCTTTTTTTTTTTTTTTTGGACACGCTGGTCCTGTTTGGCCTCCCCACCTGTCACCGTCTCCCACCAGTGCCCCGTCACTCTTCAGTGGGCAGTGGGACTGCTGTCTGGCCCCTTCCGTCTCAGAGATGAAGATCAGAGCTTGCTTGCCTTCATCAGAACCCTGCAAACCTTGCCATTTCTAAGCCAAGCAGGGGGGCTGGCTGTGGCTAGAAAGCTCATGAGATTAGCCTCTGCCCCAGGTCTGTCCATCTCTGAACCCACTCAGGCCCCCTGCCCACCTGCTCAGTGGCACTCGCTGCTCCCTTCAGCTTCACCTAGACCTGTGTCGGCCCAACCTCCTCTGGGCCTACCTCCTCTCTAACGTCCCTCTGTGTGTGTGTGTGTGTGTGTGTGTGTGTGTGTGTGTGTTTGTTTGCATGCGTGTGTGTGCACACACGCACTGCAGTGCTTCCTTTCAAGTCTCCTTGTGCAGAAATGACATGTTTATCCCTGGAGATGAGGGCCACCCCTACCCCAACCCCATTCCCAGGCATCCCAGCATCAGACTTGCCTGGCAGGTGGGAGATGATGGATGAAGGACCCTCCTCCGTGCTATCCTGTTTCTTAGCGTCATTCCCGTGGTGCCTATTCATGTGTTTGCTTCCTAGGCCTGTTGCAGTCCCATCGAGGACTTGCTGTGTAGTAACTTACTCAACATTTTTCTCCCTCTGCCTTTCCATCTGTCCCCCTGTGTCTCTCCTGCCCTTGACGTGGCGGCTGTTCACAGTGGGTGCTCAGCAGTGCTGGTAGTTGGGGGCGTTCCTCTGCCAAGCAGAAGCCCACCAGGCCTACCATTGCGGCCCCAGTATGTCAGAGGCCTTGGCCTGGTTTCACAGCATGGGCAGGGGCGGTCCCACACATCGTGTCTTTACCCTGCAGGCCTCTGGCATCCCCAAGCACCATGAATGCCATCGTCGCTCTGTGCCACTTCTGCGAGCTCCATGGCCCCCGCACTCTCTTCTGCACGGAAGTTCTGCATGCTCCCCTGCCCCAGGGTGCTGAAGGTGGGGACAGCCCTGGGCAGGCTGAGCAGGCTGAGGAAGAGGAGGGTGGCATCCAGATGAGCAGCCGGGTCCGTGCCCACAGCCCAGCTGACGGTGCCAGCACTGAGTCCAGCAGCCCGGGGCCCAAGAAATCGGACATGTGTGAGGCAAGTGTCTTTTGGGATAAGGAGATGGTTTTAGTCTTCCTGTGAGAGGTGGGTGGTGGGAGGGAGCATGGGAGACCCCCACACACACCAGGGTCCTGAGAGCCTTTTTCTCATTATCTCATCAGGAGCCAGTTTAACCTACTCAGTGTTGGCTTGTGTCCCTTTATGGGCGTTCCCAGCAGAGATCCGCCCTGTGTGCCCTAGTCCACCTTGCTTCAGTTCAGTTAGAGAGAGGGGGAAGTGCCAGGCAGCCACTGCTGGGGTTGGCCGGGTTGGGTAGGGCCTCCAGCTGCTGCCGGAGCTGCCAAGAAACCGACCTCACCAGAGGAAGTCTTTTGTGGTGGGAAACTAAGGGACCAGGACAGGATAGAGGAACAAATGTGGAAGACCGTTTAGGCTTGGGTAGGAGTGAGAGAGAAAGAATTGTCTTAAAGGGCAGGCCCAGGAGGCCCAGGGTCCTGGAGGAACTCCCAGGGAGGATCTTGCCTCATCGCCTACCTGGTGGCGGTGGCGGTGTCCCAGGTTGGGACCCCTGCTGGTTACACAGCCTCTGCTTCTGACAGCTCCAGCCTGGTGGCTCGGGGCTCCCAGTGGTGGCTCCTCAGGTTGCTTACGCTGACACTCTGAAGTCCCTCACTGATGTGCTGTAGCCTGTCTTGCCTGGGATCAAGCTCCCTTGCCTGTCGTTCATTCTGGCCCAGGAAAGAGGCCTGCTTGAGTAGCATCACTTCCAAGAGTGACGTGGTGGCTGGGTACCCTGAGTCCAGCTGCTTTCAGCGAAGCCTCAGCTGTCTGTAAAATGGGCCTTCCCCCTGAGAGTCCCTCCCAGGGTCACCACTAGGGCTGGGTAAGATAAGCAGTGGAAAACTCATCATACCTACAAGCAAGCTTCCACGTCACAGCTGTTACTACAAGTCATGGATAATTTTTCTGCCCTTTGGTCCCTGGTTTTCTTCTTACTGTCAGTCTAAGTGTAAATTAAAAGCTAATTGTTTCTCTCTTTTTAAAATTTGTTTATTTGTGCATATTGTGCATATTTACACTCTTATTTGCATGCATTCCGCCATGACAGAAGAGGGCATCAGATCCTAGTATAGAAGGTTGTGAGCCACCATGTGGGTGCTGGGAATTGAACTCAGGAACCCTGGATGAGCAGCTAGTGCTCTTAACCACTGAGCCATCTCTCCAGCCCCCAAAAGCTAATTATTTGTATGCATAAAGAAATCAAGAAGTTGGGCTTGGCAACACATGCCTGTAGTTCTGGCATTTAGGAGGCTGGGACAGAGGTTCTTAAGTCCCAGGTCAGCTTGGGCTGCATTGTGAGACTCTGTCTTAAAAGATTTAAAGGTCTATATTTGTGTGTTTGTGGGATCATGGGCCTCTGGCAAGACGCCTTCAGTGTTTAAAGGTGCTTGCTGCACGGCCTGAGTTCAATTCCCAGAACCCGCACTGTGGAAGGAGAGAATCAACTCTTGTGAGTGGGGAGGGGGGAGGAAAAAGAACACTAAAGATGCTTGGAAAAGCCATAGAGAAACATATTTACTTAGAAACAAGCCGGGCAGTGGTGGTGCACGCCTTTAATTCCAGCACTTGGGAGACAGAGGCAAGTGGATCTCTGTGAGTTTGAGGCCAGCCTGATCAACAAAGAGAGTTCCAGGATCAGTCAGGGGTACACAGAGAAACCCTATCTTGGGGGGAAAAAACCCAAACAAACAAAGAAAGAAACACATATATACATATTTAAATGAAGTTATTCCAATTAGGTGATAATACATTCTCCAAGAGCCATTCAAAGGGAAAAAATAATTTTCTTTTTGTAGTTGATTTTTTGTTTGTTGGTTTGGTTTGGTTTGGTTCTATGAAACAGGGTTTCTCTATGTAGCTTTGGCTGTCTAGCAACTTCATTCTGGAGACCAGGCTGGCCTTGAACTCATAGAAATCTGCCTGCCTCTGAGTGCTGGGATTACAGGCATGCACTACTGTGTCTGGCTGAGAAAGTAATTTTAAAAAAAATTAAAAAGGAGGGGCTGGAGAGATGGCTCAAAGGTTAAGAACACTCACTGGCTGCTCTTTCAGAGGTCCTGAGTTCAATTCCCAGCACCCACATGGTGGCTCACAACCATCTATAATGAGACCTGATGCCCTCTTCTGGCGTGCAGGTGTACATGCAGATAGAACAGTCAAATACATTAAATAAATAAATAAATCTTTTTTTAAAAATTAAAAAGGATTGTTTTCTGCATTTAGATGTGTTGCCTGCTTTTAGCTAAGAGACATCCTGTCCTTTGTGTGCAGGGCTGCCGATCTCTTGCCGTGGGGCACCCAGGCTATATCAGTCACGACAAGGAGACCTCTATCAAGTACGTCAGCCACCAGCACCCCAACCACCCGCAGCTCTTCAGCATCGTCCGCCAGGCCTGTGTCCGGAGCCTGAGCTGTGAGGTAAGGCCGGGGTCCGCTGTCTGTGGGAAAACACGGGACTATAGGTGTATGGCTGTTTATAGTCGGCAGGGGGCGCTCTTGGCAGTGCCGTGTGAAGTTGGCTGCCCAGTCACAGCTTGAAGAGTAAGTCTTTGTGGGGTCTGACTGTCGAAATAGGAATCAGCTTTTCACTTTGAACAAGACTTTTTTTTTTTTTTGTCCATTCTAGAAGAGGGCACCAGATCTCATCTTTTGTGAGCCGTCCTGTGATTGCTGGGGTTTGAACTCAGGACCTTTGGAAGAGAAGCCAGTGCTCTTAACCTCGGAAGAGAAGCCAGTGCTCTCCAGCCCCTTCTTGTCCATTCTTGATGATCATGTTTCTTAGATACAACAGTTCCTTGGCTGTGTGGTCTATTGCATCAGCTTTATAGTGTATCAACAGCCGTTCCACTTAGAACCTTCTGAGGAATGAGTCGGGCTGCAGAGATCGCCCAGTGATCAAGAGCACTTGCTGCTCTCGCAGAGGACCAGAGTTCAGTCCCAACACAAACCTGTTGGTTCCCAACAGTCTATAGCTCCAATGCCAGGGGATCCAGCACCTTCTTCTGTCCTCCATGGGCACTGCATGCAAGCACTCATAGGCAGAAAATAAAAATAAAGGCTTAAAAACAGCAACAACAAAGAATGGTTTGCTCCTGAACTACTGCGGTGGGGTATGAGTCTCAGCTTGCAGGGTTGATCTGTCAACACAGGTGTGTGGTTCCAGCTTCTGAGCCTCGCTGCCCTGTCTCCACCTCTCGAGGTCCCTCATGCATGTTGCCTGTTCTCCCTGCTGCTTTACACATCTTCCTTCCTTCCTTCCTTCCTTCCTTCCTTCCTTCCTTCCTTTCTTTCTTTCTTTCTTTCTTTCTTTCTTTCTTCCCTCCCTCCCTCCTTTTTCTTTCTTTCTTTCTTTCTTTCTTTCTTTCTTTCTTTCTTTCTTTCCTTCCTTCCTTCCTTCCTTCCTTCCTTCCTTTCTTTCTTTCTTTCTTCCTTTCTTCCTTTCTTCCTTTCTTTCTTTTCTTGACAAGGTTTCTCTGTTTGGAGTCTGGCTGTCCTGGACTTGCTTCTGTAGACCAGGCTGGCCTCGAACTCACAGAGATCTGCCTGCCTCTACCTCCCAAGTGCTGGGATTAAAGGCCTGCACCACCATCACCTGGCTGACTTGAAAGTTCTTTTTATTTTATTTTATATTTATAATATTATAAATATTATAATATTTATAATAAATATTATATTTATATTATATT